GCCATAATTAACAATTAATTTTTTAATAAAAAGTGGTTAACTATAATAATAATAATTAATAACAACAATTTTAACAATAAAAATATCAATAATATTAATTAATAACAACAACTATAACAATAACAATAACAACAAAAATAAATAATAACAACAATTGTAACAATAATAATAATTAATAACAACAATTATAACAACAACAATAACAATTAACAACAATAATAATTAAACAAGATTATTCTAATAATAACAATAAAACAATAATAAATTTAAGATTAGTTTAGATCTTACAACCGTGCTTCAACGCTCCACTAATTACAATTACGAACTTTTTAATTTTTTCCGATATTAGGAAATAATTAGAAAATTTAAGAGAATAATTAGAGAATTTAAGAAAATAAGGATTATTAGAGATTTAGAGAATATAAGAGATAAGAAGAAGAGATTGTGATTTTGTGATTTGGGAATGAAATGGAGGTGAGTATTTATAGAATTTTTGGGGAGCAAATTGGCAAAAAACTAGCCGTTTTTTAGCCGTTTTTTTTGCTTATTAAGGAGCTAGAATAAACGGTAACATTACCGTTGGCCCGCGGGCCGGCACGACGGGCCAGCACGGCGGGCCATGCCCGTGCTCGTGCCGGGCCGTGCCTGGGAATTCTCAACCCTGTCCGTGGCACGGCCCGTGGCACGGGAGTTGAACTTCGTGTCGTGCCGTGCTTGAATTCGGGCCGTGCCGGGCGGCACGCGGGCCAACCCGTCCCGTGCCCAGGTTTAATAAGGTCATCATGCGGCTGGCGGACTTCGTCTCAGTCCTTCTCTAAGATGATGACCTTAGGAAATGTGTCGATAGACGCCTAACCCTTATCGACCGAGCTGACATCCAGCCGCCTGACATGGTCCTTAGTGCCTCTGATATTTGGGCCCCCACCAACAAAGCCGCCTGCTATGGTGTAGATCGGCTCCTTATTTGTGTCTGAACTACTGGTAGGCTTTGCTGGATTTTTTTACGGCTGTCTGGGGTTCGTCTTGAGGGTCACCTTGGACTTGAGGATGTAAGACTTCAACACCCCCTTATCAACCAATCTGTCATATAACTGCTTGAGGCTGTAGCAGTCGTTGGTATCATGGCCAATATCCTCATGGAAATGGCAGTACTTGTCTTTGTTCTGATTTTTTACAGAACCCTTTATGGCTGCGAGCTTCTTAATAGTCACCCGGTCTTTTATCTCCATGAGAATGGAGTAGCAGTCCTTGTTAAACTCGTACCTTGGGGCGTACGGTTAAAACTCTTTCTTTTTCTTTTGGGACGGCTGATTAGAATCGTCAACCGCCCAGATCTCTTTTCTCTTCTTGCTCTCTTTAGCTTTTTGACCCGGCTGTTCTTGCCGACTCCCTTTTTGTTTGTTAGACTTCTTTGAATCCGACAGCTTGCTGGTGGAACAGAGCTCGGTTGCCTGTATATAGGCTTCCGCCTCCATCAGCGCCTCTTGAAGAGTTGAGATTCTCTTCTGGACGAGGTCAAACTTGAAAGTCGACTCGTCTTTCAGACCCTTAAAGAAGTTTGTGTAAGCAACATCGTCAAACAGTCCTTGGATCTGGATTCTCACCAGATTGTACCGCCTGACGTATGAACGAAGCCCCTCCCTGTCTCCCTATTGTACCGCGCCCAAGTCAAGGCTTGTCTTTTTGGTGGGTATGTTCATGATGAAATTTGAGGCAAACAAGAACGCTTAAAGTTGTTGACGCACCCAGCCGGCAAATTGCCAAACCACTGCTGGGCAATGCCTTTTAGCGTGGCTGGGAAACACCTGCACCATGAGGCATCATCCAACCCTTACAAGTACATGAGGTGGGTGTATGCCAACAGGTGGTCATCTGGGTTGGTGGTACCATCATAAGTACCCACCATGACATTCTTAACCTTGACCGGCTATGCCGCCTCGATTATCTCCTTGGAGAACGCAGAAGGCTGTTCTCCAAGTTTTAGTAGACGGAGCTTCCAGTCCAGTGGCTGGACATTATATGTCGCCTGACCCCCGAAGAGAGCAGGCTGCAGGTAAGGTTGGGCAAACGGCATGTATGGCTGTTGGAGCACATACGGGACTAACCCTATCATCTGAGGTCATATATAGACGGACTGGCCGCCTGACAGGCTCTCCTGTGCAGATTGAGAATACCTCATCGAGGTATTCTTGAAGCTGTCTGGGAAAGTCGACGTTGAAGCCGAGTCAGACAGTTGGTGATTTTCCTTTGCTCAATAATAAGTCGAGCATCAGAGATAGTCTTCTTGCTGCCATTCGGCTGTGTATGCTGAATGGCCTTCCTCTTTCCCGGCTTGGGGAGGTAGAACTTGGTCCAATCAATCAAAGGTCGGGTCCCCTCCTTTGTTTTTGGGTGCGGAGTGGGATCCCTATCCTTGATTGACTTAGCCTTCTTAGAGCGAGAGGGCTTCTTGGCCGACTGACCCTTGCTGGGACCAGTCGTCCTCTTGGAGATCAAAACCTTCATCTCTCCCTTGAAACTTGTCATGAATTTCATGAACTCATCTCGGGTGATGTGAGCAGACTGTCCTGCCGCCTGGGGCTGGCCGGAGGACTTACTCGGACACGCTTGACCATCGCCCTGCTCCTTGTAGTCTTTGGAACGGATGCGCCTGGTAATGAGGGATCTATCTGCAGCCGCATATGTTTTGACCTTTGGATCTTCATCCGTATCATGGTCTGAAAAGATCTCAGCCGTAGGCTGCTTGTCCTTATGAGGCAGTATAGTCTCTTGAGAAACCATCTTAGAGGTACTCTCCCCATAGATGACGCCAAAATATTTCGGGGTTTTTTGTGTCCTACGGAAGAGTTACGTCACCAAGACTGGATTCCCTGCCGGTTGTACCTGCAAAAAAATGAAAACTCCTGTTGGAAGGAGTTCCGCCTCCGACGATCAAGTTAGAATCGGTCGAAGTAAGGTAAAAGTGCGGAAAGTAATGGTAGATCTTCTTGGATCCCGAGATCAGGTGTTTTCTCTGATGTGAAAGAATTAATTGAGTTGTAATAAATGAACGTGCCCCCAAAATGGGGTAAATTTCTCTATTTATAGGGTCATTGGTAAATGTGCCCCTAGGTCATTTTGACCTAGAATGGTGGGTTGTGCCGCTTTGCAGCTTTCTAGGGAATTGGGCCGTGAAGGCCGTCTTGTTCCCTTCTAATTTGTAAGGACACGTGTCAGCTGGTGGTTGGTCCTGTTTGGATCTCTCCTAGGCTGCCACGTGTCAGCCTCTTATTGGGCCACGTGGCTTTGGGATTTTTACCCAAATCAATTATTGTATCTATAGATTTGGTGAATACGACGGGTAAAGTAGATATTCGATTGTATAGCTGCTGAAGTGAATGGTATGATAAGATTATTTTAGTTTTTATCTACGGGAGGTAAGAAATGAATTAGTCTACTTCTCTTATATAGTTATGTGGAGCATAACTCATTTATTTTTTTAATTAAAAAATAACATTATAAAAAAATAAAAGGGAATAAAATAAAAGAAATACAAATGACACAATTAATTTGTTAGTGAAAATGAGTCTTTTATTACTAATTGAATTATCTTTGGGTTTTTTTTTTTTTTTTTTGTTTTTCCTACGAGATTAATAATTTTTTTTTTTTTCAAAAAAAATAATAATAATTTGATGTATTAACCGTGCATCGCACGGACACTATGCTAGTCTGACTTTTATTTACAACACATAAGGAAAATTAACAGTTACTGTAACACTTTAACATGAAACTGTTTTATTTATTTTTTTTATTTTTTTTTATTTTTTTTTGAAAGAGCGTAAATATTTTTGAACATTTTTAATTTTAACTACTCCCTTCGTCCCCGAAAGAACGAACCTTTTGGGCTGATTTTGCGGGTATTAAGAAAGTGAAAAAGTTAGTAGTAAATGTACATTGGAAAGTGAAATTCACATGGGGTTTGCAAAAAATAGAGAGAGAGAGAGTAATAAAAGTATATGGAAAAGCAAAATTTACATGGAGAACTAACTTTACACAAATATTGTTGCAAATTGAAAAGTATTTTAATGCAAATGAGATGATTATTTTGGGACTAGATTTAGGCCTTAAGGGTCATTCTTTGAAGGGAGTACTTATTATACTTATCATACAATTTTCTTTAATATTTTTATGATAAAAATAAGTAAATAAAAAAATATGTCAATACTCCATTTCTTTTAATGTTCTCTTTCTATTCTGATGCTAGAATTAATAATGTATGATTAATGTCCCCGTGGGCTCATGGCGCTTTCAATGTTACAAGTGTAAACAATTGTAAGGCTAATTTAACCAATATTAATGACATTATATAAGAGCACTCCCTGGTTTAATTAGAACATTCAAGGCATCAACCATGCACGACCCATCTACAATATAAGAGAGGCGTGTCATAATAATGTTTATACACCACATCTACCAAGCTAAGAGGAAGAAAAAATCAACTAGGAATATAGTAAACTCCACATGAATTCTGCAAAGGACGGTGGGGAACTAGGGAATGAAACTTTTAGTATTACTTCCTCCGATCTGATGCGATCGACCTATTATACATTATCTCTGTTCGGATTGGATTATCAATCTATTCTACTTTCTCCGATCCAATCATTAATTGAACTGTTTAGTCGGTCACTTAAAATTTTAATGCACAAATATTTGACTTTTTTCCTTAAAAGTACTTTTCGCTAGATTAAAATCTCAATACAATAACAAAAAAGTCTTTAATCTAGAGATTCTACATGTATAATAGAGTTTTAACAAGTTGGTAGCAGATTTAATCTTTGAAAGAAACGTAACTCAAATATGTTCAGTACAAATAACAGTCGTATATATATTAAATTGTCATAGAGTACACATTTGACATTACAAATCAAGAAGGCTATAGTCATAGAATAGGTGAATGTAGTTGGAGTATAAATAATCATTCATGTGTAAAAATGCAAAAGTAACCACATGATGATGAGCTAGCTAGTAACAAATTAAAGTCGATATAAAATGAAAGTTACACATACAAATATATATATTCATTTAGTATTACCATAATAGTTGTCGTAAATCAAAGTAAGTAAATATCGCTTTATTGGTTCATAAATATACCAAATGTAACAAACAGTATTTAATGCTTATCTTTTGTTCTAAATGTGGCATCGTATTCAGAGTCTCCGCCCCCCAACTAGAGTTGCGTTGCCCAAACAAAAGTAGCCTCGCTCTAACCAACCTTTTAAGGCTAATCAATTTTAGTTGCCTCCAACCAATTTTACTTTAACCCCCTCAATTATTCTGCCGTACTTGTAACTTTTTGGTTAATTTTGGCAACTATTGGGGACAAGTCTCTTGGGTGGACATCCATCACTAGCCCATTCTTCATGAATAAGGTTAATGACATTTTTTGCTCTACCTTGTGGCCCCGTGCCACGTTGAGCCGGTGACGGAGGAGCACCGCCGCCACAATCGACTTCATTTGTAGGTATGCTAAGTCTTTTCCTAGGCAAATCCTAGGGCCTGCATTGAATGACACGAATTTAAACGAGTCTTGCATCTCCATCTTTTGACCGTCTGATGATAACCACCTTTCGGGCCTGAACTCTAGACAATCCTCGCCCCATGTGAACTTCATGCGGCCGGTTGAGTAGATTGAGTATGTGATGGCTGAACCTGCTGGCACGAAGGTTCCGTCAGGAAGCACGTCATCGGCGATGACATGCTTAGAGTCCTCGGGGACCGAAGGGTAGAGCCTTAGTGTCTCGGAGAGTGCAGCCTTTACGTATATCAATCGGTCAACTTCTTCAAACCCTAGTGGTTCATCGGTCCACTTAGCAACATCGCTGCCACGTGTCTCCATGAGAACAGTGCAAATTTCGAGGAGGATTTTTTCCTCAACACGTGGATTAATACTGACAAGCCAGAAAAACCAGCTAAGTGCCACCGAGGACGTGTCTCGTCCAGCTAGGATAAAATTAAGTGCCACCTGTTGAAGGAATTTGTCCGAGTAGGACTCCTTTTTCTTCATAAACCTAGACAGCAAGTCATCATGGGTCCCATTAAACTGCGGATCTGTCAACTCTTGCTTACGTATATTAATGATATTTGTCAAATACTTGTCCACGTGTGATACACTCTGCCTTAAAACAACTTCCATACCCAAACCGAACCATTTTTTGAACCGCCAAATAAACTCGGGCAAAATAAACCGCTGCAACGTAGCCTCCGTAGCCCGGTCGAACGCCATTGCAAAACTATTTTCGGGTAGACCGGGGGTAAGTGTTTGTGGATCCTGACCAAACGCCAACCCACAAATATTATCAAAAGTGAGCCGGAGCAACAAATCTTGAAGATCAACCGGTTTAGCCTCAACCTGAGCCTCCTTCAATATCGGGACAAACCGGTTTCTAATCGCCCGGTTCACCCACCGGCCCATAGCCTGCCTGAGGGTCCGAGTCGTAAATTCCAACGCGGCGGTCTTCCTCTGAAAAAGCCACGTGTTACCATCAGAATTAAAGATCCCTTCTCCGAGCAAATCATGAAAAACCGCCTGCCACGTAGGACCCTTAGGGTAATTGTCGAATCTACCCTTGAGAATATGCTCAAGATTTTTAGGGTCACACGTGACAGTAACCAAACCTTGCTTCCGCGCCAAAAAGGGCACCGCACAGATGCAAGTTTGGTACGTGCCACCACACGTGCGGAGATTCTCCGCAATCCACTCATGCATACGGTTTGCATTCTCTATCAACCCCGGCAAACTCCCCACCAACGGCCACACCGTTGGACCACTCAACGGCCGCTTGATCGATCGAAACCAGATCAAGTACGCCGTGATCAACGATACAATCACCAACATCATAAATGGTTCCATAATGTAATAATAAACTATCTCCTCTCAATATTATTTATTACAATAAATCTGCGGGAGTACCACGTTTATTTATTTTCGTATAACTAACTGCTTTGTTTATGTATATGAAAATGTGAAGGATGAAGCGGAGGAGAGAGAATGGTGGTAGTGAAGGAGAGAGAATGAAAGAGTGATATATAAAGAGGAAGAGAAGAAGAGGACAGATATGTAATAAATAGGAGGGTGGAAAAATAATTTTATTTTGTTTATTTTTTAGGAAAAAAAAAATGGTGTGAGAATGTGCATGGGAAGTGAAGTGTGAGAAGAGAGTGGAGTGGGAAGAGAGAGTGACCAGCTAAGAAGACAGCAAAGAAATAAATGCCAACAGAGGTCGTTGGAGACTTTAAGTTAAGATGTACAATAAAAACCATACCATAACTATAACCATAACCATACACACACTACCTCTACTCTTACATAACATACTATTCTATCATATCAACTAACCATTTCAACAGTATTATCTATTTCTACATTCACTATATTCTTTACTCCATCCCTTTTTTTGTTATTCAATTAAGCTAGATAGCTTGTGTAAATACTACTTTTATATACCCGTACGTAGCCAATTGACGTGATCGAATCACCTGTTGGTACAATGGTACATTGCATTGATTTTATTTCTATCAGCTAGAGCGCGTCATATTAAATAATCTATAGGTGCATTTTATATATATTCACCTGATTATTACCCGGAGTTATTTTTATCTAATAATTCGAAATTATCTTATCTAATTTGAACTTGTATTACATAAAAGTAACTAATAATCTCAATTGGACATTAGAATTTATTACAGATAATTTTCTCTTTTTTTTCCACAAATTAACCTTATGAAAAAATCTAAACTTATTAATTTTTATTTACTTTTGGTGAAGTAAATGGAAATAAAGTGAATATTGAAAAGTTAATGTTTTTTTAAAGACTCTTGTACACTTTTATTTTCCTAAGTAATGTGTTGATAAGTATATTAGGTGACTCGTACTTCGTAGCTTTGTCCGCCCGATCGGGCGGACATTGCCCGGTCTGACCGGGCGGAAGAAGAAGAGGTGCCTGGCAAATTCGTTGAAGAAGCTGCTCTCGCGCCCGACCGGGCGAGCCTTCGCCCGACCGGGCGAGCCTTCGCCCGATCGGGCAGACCTTGCCCGGTCTGACCGGGCGGTGGGGGTTGGATACGTTGAAGCATTCGTATGGAGTTTTCTTCTCGCGCCCGATCGGGCAGACCTTGCCCGGTCTGACCGGGCGGTGAAGGAAAAATACGGAACGCGGATTTTGCGGTTTTAGGTTATCTTATTTTATTATCTTTTTGCCCAAGTATCTTTTAATTAGGGATTAATATAAAACCTCCCTAATATCAGTATTAGGGTTAAGAGAGACAGAGTGAAAGCCGTTCTTGAGAAATACAAGAATCATCTTTGTAATCTTTGCAGTTTATAGTGAAATCATTCGATCTCGGTGCCCGTGGACGTAGCTATCACATCGATAGTGAACCACGTAAATTCTTGGTGTTGTTCTTATTGTTTGCATTGAATTTCTTTATTGTTTTCTTGTTTGTTTACGACCTTTGCTTCCGCTGTCGCACAACATAATGTTTGCAATCAGAGGATTATTTAAGTTGTTAGAGCTAATAAGTAGAGACATTTTCAATTTTGAAATTAAGGATTTTGTCATTTTATATACGAGTAATAAGATCGGTATTTAATTACAATAAATATAACAATTGTGAACATTTTACACGTATAGATTGAATCATTGATTACTGAGTGTAAATGTATCTAAGTTTCAATTTATGTCAATAGACTGCAATTCTGGGTGTGACCAGTTTTTCAGGGAATTATGTACATGTTTTTTTTTATCATATCATCACATTAATTGTTTAGGCATGTAGAAATGCGAAATATAATGATCATATTACAATATTAATGTCATATATCTTGTCACTCTTAATCTCTAATTTAATTACTCATACTATTCATGTCATGACTCATGAATCATAGTTTGCAAATATAATGTAACAAGTACATTGTATATAAGCAAAAATGGTGAGATAGATTATCTTTAAAGTTGATGTGAATGAAGTAATGCATATTAATAAATAGATGTCTAAAGTTCGTATGTATCATTTTCATAATCTTAAGTGCAGCAATAATAAGGTTTAAGGGAGAGGTTATGAAGCATTGGAGCCTAAAATGTTAATCATATCAACATTAATGATAGCCGAAAACATCAGCATCATCTAGGAGTCCTTTTGTCTAGATGGGACTATAATTATTGAGTAATTACTTGAGCTTCACCATTAGTTGGAAATTAATAGTCGTAGTTTTAAGAGTTTAGTCATCTTTTAATTTCTTAATGTAGGATCGAGTTTACGTAAACACTATTGCACGGAATAATAACATAATCGGATTGAGTTAGAAAAAAAAAGTGGTTATCATATACGGAACTATGAGATGATAAAAAATTTCTCACATAGTTCAATTCGTACATTTATTTGAGTGATCTAATTATCTAAATATATTGGTATGTTGTTATTTATTACTTTCTCTATTCAATGCAATATTTGTAGATAATCGACTGGTGTCAACTTACATCTCCACTCTTGTCCTACATTTTTCAAATTCAATCCTATTTGTAGCCCTAATAACTAATTTCACCTCTTTTATTGTTGTAGCGAAAAAGAAAAAGATTAAAAGTAAGTAATAGACAATAAATAAAGTACGTTTACATTCATATTATTACGTAATGATGTGAACATAATTATTAAACAATGATATCGACTACAATAGGATCATGTAATTTTTACAAGGAAAGTGCGTTTCTTAAGAAATTTCCATTATCGTCCCACCACACCACACCACACCACATCAATACCATTTAGCAAAAGGTATAGATCAAAGTCAAAAGCATTCCGATCCAATTTTAAATCACAAGACTCATTCGCACCGCGTTGGAAAATGAACCAAATAAAATTCTATGATTCTTAAATAAAAGGGACACTCCACAATCCACATATACGTACACTCACTACCCGTATTTGCAGGGAAATAAAGAAGGGAAGATTTGGGAGATAAAAAGAAAGCGAAGTAAATGTGATTAGTTGAGAAAATACCGAAATTGCTCCTAACACAAGATAGCTAAATTTGGGTGTCTTTGTCAACTCGTATGTATATATTTGTGTAACCACGAACGCTTCCTAATTATCACGGGACTTCTTATTCTATGTTTCGTAGCCCACCTTTTTTGCAACCCATCTATTACTTTTACTTCCCCTTTTTAAATTATATATGCAACACCTTTCTAATTGTTTACATTTGATAGTCAGACCATATTTTTGGATATATATTTATGGACCACAATTATATTTGTACTACATTACAATTTTACTATGTAATCTCTAATTTTGAAATTCTACCTTATTCGATATTATTACAAACTCGTTCTTGTGTTATTATATACTTTGAATGTTGTATACACACTTGCGGAGTAATGATAAATCTATCTAGGTTCAAAGTTTGGTGAGAAGTTCAATCAAGATATGATGATAGATTTGATCTATTCTGATATCGTTATTTTGTTTTATAATTCAAGTACAATATATTTGAGAGCGTATATATAGGAACTAAAATATTGCCATTAAATATAATTATTATAATTTGACTTAATAAAATGGTGGTTTAATTTTTGAATAAGTACCACTTCTAGAGAGAAGATGATTGAGCACTTGGACAGAGTTATTACGTGTGACTATATGAGATTTGATTATTTAATATGTTCGAGATCAGAGACGTACATGTTAAGATTTTCATCACCTAAATATACTTGTATGCCTAAAATTTGTACATCCTATGTATTTTAAGAAGGCAACTTTGCAATCATGGTCTATATATATGCGTACATGCATTGAGCGAGCATGACATACTAAAATTTGTATGTTTTTATAGTCTCACGTTACCTTGCACATAATTAATATGTATGTTTAGAACATATATAAGTATGTGTATCATGGAAGTACTATATTACACGGAGTACTAATAATGAATGCATTCAAGTATACTTTATCTAATAAAGTAATAAGTAATAACCTAGAGAAGCCAGGGTAATGAATCATCCATTTATTTCTATTCCCATAAATCCACTCCTTCGTGTAATATGACCAATTAAAATCCAAGAAATTAAACATTAAAAAATATTCTAAGAAATTACGAAAAAAAACAAGAAAGACTGATATTACCAATTTACAATGCCACTTGTTGCATATAGTAAGATTTCAATGTTACGTTAATACTATGAATATTACATTACATTCATGCATGCTTTAATTTCATTGAGATCGCTGTTACTCTCTACATTGTTGATATTATTCTGCAGGTGTTGACTTTTTTTGCTCAAGTAAATACAGTAAAATTAAGGTACGCAAATTAAGAAGTTGATATTATTACTTGTTTTGAATTTTAAAATGACGATATTTTCTCTGTGACTTGAGGTTTTGGATGCTTTCCAATTTATAATACCTAAAGTTATCATTATTTTTCTCGAAAAATATTAACATTAAGTTATAAAAGAAATATTAAAAATTTAATCTTTTTATGAAACAAACTCATTATAATTTTAATCAATAGTTTGTTATCGGAGTTGGATTTAAAAAGAGAAAACATCAATATATAGATAGATTCGGCTGAGTAATAAGTAACTTGAAGAGATGGAAAGAAAATTAAGAAAAGTGATACTTCTTTCGTTTTTTTTTTTAAGTATTAGTTTCAAGTTGATTCCCCCATGCATACATCAATTAATATTTGTGTTTTGTACATAAAGTTAAACATATATAATATAGTCATGCGAATAGTTGTTAAAAACGTACTATCTACTATCAATATGTGGTTTCCGAATATCAACATTTCTTGGCTACGGAGTAATTTATGTTGAATACATTTGAAATCACTCCCCACTTGGTTCAGTAGTTCACGTACATGATCTCCAAGTCCCCATAAGTGAGTTGACTTAAACAACAAAAGCAAAAGGGATAATGTTAAATTATAAACTATATATATCCTGGTCAAAGCCATATTAAACCTCAGCTCTGCAAAATTGAATAAGCAAATTGGGTGATGAAGAAACCCTCGAAAATAGATCAGAAGAGGAATATAATTGAATTGTATTGTATAGATATAATTTAGGCGAAAATTGCGATTGCACACTGTTTGGTTAACACCGTACGTATAATTCATGCAGCGAGAGTAATTGTGTGCTGCACCTGTTTTTTCTCATTTGCCACAT